GTACTGGGAGTGGAGAGATGGCGGGAGTAGCGTGTACCCTCGGGGCTAGAATGTGACCGGATTTGAGGTCTGTTGTGCTCTCGAGTGGCGTGGAGACGGCTTAGTATAGGAGGATCCGGTAGCGAGGTTGATATATGCAAGATTAAGTTCTACATATGTCGTGTGATATGGAATCCCCAGCTGGGACTTGAATCAATTCGAATTGCCGGTGCTCCGCGGATATAGAGACTCGATTCATTACAGAAGCAATGCAGGACTGGTGAATTACTAAAACATGAGAAAAAGGAATGGAATGAGAAGGATTGGAATATGGAATATGAACACCTAGTTTGAGATAAGGAACTAAAGTATTTAGGGGTAAAACTTAAAAAAAAGATCAAGAATAGAAAGCTTTTGACAAAGAACTTTTGAACCTTGCTACATCCTTACCTTGTCCCAATACCTGCATCCCTAAGACCTTCGCCCCTTTTTCATCGGGTCAGTCTTGTTGAGTACTTTTGTACTCAGGGTTTGTTAACCCTTGTTGCCGGTGAGTCGCATACGCAGGCTTGTTTTTGTCCCTGCTGCATGTCAGTGTTTGAAGCCGATGACGAGGAAGAATGATGAATGGCCTTTGGACAAGGCACTAGTTTGTGTGAAATAAATAATGTTAATGTAATATTATCCCGCTACTATGGTTGTATGACACTTATGGTTTTGTAAGTTTGAAACAACTGGTTTGTAATATCAAAACTTAAGTCTTCCGCTTTATAATCTCTGGTATGTATATTGAAAACTGTTGTAATCTGCAATGACTGTGATTGAGATCCTGTTTGGAAAAAATTCGTGGATGATTCGGGTTTCCCGAGGACACCCGACAGACTTGTTAAGTTGTTGGGAACTTGTGTACGCTATCTGAGGTCTGTTGAGACATCGATAGATGCAAGTGGGCCCGATTTCTTAGGAGGTTCTGCCACAGCCGCTGCCGGTGGGGCCGAGGCCGTGGCCGTGGCCGTGGCGAGCTGCGAGCGAGCGGACGGGCGTGGCCAGTCTTTTGCCACTTAATCCATATAATCACGGGAGTTACTCCATTTGATGGTGGAGGCGAACTGATTGCATCAGTTACCGTCCTTTCCGCTTTCGTTTCTCCGCTGCCTCTCTTCCCGTCGCAGCCAGATCTCGGTCTTCCGCAACCGCTCCCGAGAGAAACCACATCTCAGCAGCCTTCTGACTTCCCCGTCCCGTACCTCTGCGCGCATGAGTGGCGGGAGAGCAGGTGGCTCTGGAACCCTCGCCCGCTTGAGAACCTTGCACGCGGTGTGCGGCGATTAGGTTTTTGGGGAGCGATTCGCGACTGCTTGTCCACGTACGTCTTCCTCCTGGTGGTGATCCCGTCCTCTTCCTGGTGATTGCCTGCGGAACATCAAGGCGTCTTTTTCCTGGTGATCCGTTCGTGGGACTGCACTGCGAACATCGTCCTGCACCGACTGTGGTCCGCGACTTCGAGCAACGCACTATGTCGACTAGTGCGAATGGAGCATCCGATGCCTTCGGCATGGGACCCTCCGCTGGGTGCAGTTCAATCTTTGTGTGTAATCTGCGCTTTTACTGTATCTATTTGTATGTCATCTCTGCATGCTGTAGCGTTCGTTAAAGATATACACATACACATATATGCCATCACGAACCTACTAATGTTATTTTTCTGGATTAAACTGATAATGAAAATGTCTAAATCTCTAACCGTCCCTGTGCATGGCGTGCACATTGACGAGGAACATCGTCCCCGCCGGGACGTCGTAGCCGCCGACGGGGCAGTCAGAGGCCGACTGGTGCGGTGCTAGGAGCGGCGCAACGGGGTGGAGGCGCAGGGCTTCCGTGACGATGCACCTGAGGTACGGAAGGTTTGGCAGGTCGGCTTCCTCTAGGATGCGCGCTGTGCCGGCGACCTTGTCGATCTCGGCTTGGGCCTTGGCCATGGCGGCGGGATGATTTAGTAGCAGCGCCATGCTCCACTCGATGGTGGCCGACGTGGTATCAGTTCCAGTTTGCAAGATGGACTGTTTCCAACAAAGATATATTGGACACCGGTCAGGATTATGTTACTAATAGTGAAGTGCATGGTCGTTAACTTGCATTTATATATCGATAATAGTCGTCTTATACTGTAACAAAACAATAGTCGTTACACGTATTATATATCATTTTATTTAAGTTCCTAGTTGTGGCTGTTAATTTTTATTTTTTTCCTCTATGCGTTCGAACCTGCATATAGCTCATTGGGAAAAAATAATGGGCATGTAACTGAGACAAATTTGCTATGGGGAAATCCAAAATCACTCTGAATATGTTTAGGTATTTGTTTTCAAACCGTTGGAGTTGGAGTAATATAATATAATAATAACATGTACTGCACACATCGCGATCATGGTTGTGCAATGTAATACATGATTCGCATTGAACAATGGTTGTGTGATGTACTGGACCCTAACAACCATGCATGATGGCCTGTCATTGTCGTGCATCTTCCGTCCATTCACTAAACAATTGGCCTCATATCTCCACCTCAAAGATTTGGCCATGATTCTAAAGTCTTAAGCACATGCCTACCTCCATCCCAATGATCTGGCCATGATACTACTGCTAAGCAAGTCAACAAACAGCCTACGCACCCAGTAATTCTGTAAATCCTACGACCTGTGAAATCCACTACAGTTCGTTGCTATGTTCAGCAGTTGAGAGAGATTACTCTGTTTCTTTTCTTCCACTATACAATATGTGAAAGTGTGAAACTGATTGTACTACTGTCTCTAATTCTTGCAAGTTGCAATACGATTTGCAGAACAGAATAACTCACCAAGCAGAGCGCTCTGATGACCTTGTCGCTGTACGCCTTAGAACAGAATAACTAGTACATGTAAAATGTTACTTTTGTGGTCTGGTATTTGTTTTTTATCATAACGTATTAAACGTTTATCCTTGTATGACTATAGAAATAATTATAAATTGTTAATTGTCTTTGTGCCAATACAACGGATTTGTGGTTTGTCTAACTTTTTTTTTTATTTTTGGAATTGTAAATTGTTACTTTTATGATTTTTTTATTTATCTTTGTATCAAACATATCAAATTTTTGTGTGGTTTGACTATAAAAACAATTATAAATTATTAATTGTCTTTGTGTTAACACAAATTAGATTTTATCGGATTTTTGGTTTTGCCTAATAGGTTTTTTATTCTCAGAAACGAAAATTGCAGATTATGCCTATATAAATTATAACGAACTAAGACTATAATTTTAATATAAAATATATGCGATAACCATCGCCTGAAAAAGAAGCTCAAATTTAGGCACCTCAATTTTAGCAAGTTCCATACTTTCTATAAGAAAAGATATTTGATAGAAGCCAAGTCTTAGTTTTTTAGTGACCTTGCCATGCCATATTGCCACACTCGGTTTTAAAGACAAAATCGAATGGCATCACATGGGGATCTATTTATTCAAACATGCGACAACAATAAATCGTCCTGTTTGCTTGGCTTATAAGCCATACTTTTTCAGTCAACGAATAATATTTCTCTCTCACAACAAATCAGCCAACAATACTTTCAGCCATGGCTTATCAGCCAAGCGAAACAGGACGAATAGCGATACAAATCAATGTTTATTATAAAACCGTAACTTATTACAAAATGATCAGAGGGTGTAAACAAAAATTACATCAAATTATCAACGAAGCAGGATCTCCATCCCCGCAGGCAGTCGATCAAGGGTACACTAGCCTATCATCCACACCGTCTTCATGGGACACCATCTTCTAGAAACTCTATCCTCTAGTCTGAACAGTTGGGTGGGTAGCAGGGGAACAAAGAGAAGAGTGAGTGTATCGAAATGTACTTCGCAAGTGTAGGAAAATATTACATGAGGCAAAAAAAGAAAAGAAAAGAAAAGACTTACAAGGTTTGACACAAGCACTTAAGCAACACAGCTTAATATTTCTTAAATCCTTAGCACCTAATTACTAGATAAAACCACCATCTCTTTGGAGAAACCAAACCAACACTTAAATTCCATCAAGCTTCGAACTAAACCAACCATTTCCTTACCAAGGAACCGTCCAACCGAACCAGAGCCATCTAATAATGAAGAAGTAAAAATCGTTCTTGACTGATATACCAGTTTTACACTATGCAGAGGTTGCACACTTTCATCACGAGTTATGTTTCCCCGTCACGCTAAACACTACCTAGGTGCTTTGTGGATGAAAGCATTTAGCCCCCTAGTGGGTTTCAATGATTAATTACTATAATAGATTACTGTGACTAACGTGTGTTTTGTAAAGACAATTTGAGTTTGGTCACGATATGGTGATTGTTTGGACAATGTTTAAACAATTAGTCTGCTGTCCTGTTTGATATACTCTGATTAATTTTAGCTAATTTTTAGTTAGGTAGCAATTAGCTCTGTATCGAAACGACTCCTTAGAGACTGTTTGAATACAAGGGATAATCACTAGTAGCTAGCTAAAAATTAGTTCAAATTAACTCTAGCGCATCTAAATAAGAAAACTAATAGGTGAGCTAGTTTTTTAATAAGTCTTAACTAGCTGTTACCCAACTAACTAGCCAACCATAGTTAATTTAGACTAAATTTTAGAAAAAAAAAACTAATAACTAGCCACTTGTATCAAACATGTCATTAGGATTTAACATAATTTTAGCAATTTTAAACGAACTTCATATGAATTTGATTACTAAATCTCTTTCAAAATAGGACGAAGCGACAAGGAAAAGGTAGAACGCGTCACCGAAACAAATCTAGAAGAACAAGAACGCGGCGAGGTCCACCTCTAGCCCTGACCTGCCCGGCTGCCCCGTCTTCGTCTTCCTTAATCTCAAATTCCCAATCCTCCTCCGACGCCTCGTTTTCCTGGATCATCCAGCGGGGGACGCCGGTGTGTTGCTTGCTCCTCCTCCCTGGTTGCCCGAGCCGTGCCGGAGGCGGCGGTGGCGGGGGGACCATGTACAGATCGGCGGGGGTCGCGATGGCGTGGAACGTGTTCCGGTTCTGCACGGCTCTCCGTGGGCTGGGTTCCATCATGATCCTGCTCGTCCTCGCCATCGTCGGCGTCACCTACTACGCTGTCGTCCTCTGCAACTACGGCCCCGCCCTCCTCACCGGCGGCGGCACCACTCTCGCCGCGTTCGCCGTCCTGCTCCTCTTCCACTTCCTGGTGCGTATCCTCACGTAGCTAGGGGGTGGGGGTAATTCAGATGGTTCCTCTTCCGGGCGAAATATCTGCTCTTTTGGTGGAGAAGATGCTAATATCAGCGGGGTTGGGTATCATTGGGTGCCGATCTTAGTTCTTGGAAGCAATTTTGTTATCTCGTATGGATTTTGGAGATCGCTGGATGGGACTGTCTTGATTCGGCTACAATTATTGTTTTACTAATATGGTTTCTGACAAATGGTACATTTGTTTAATAGAGGGTACGTCAAATGTTAAAATGGAGCCAATTACACTGAATGAAGTTTAATAAGAAAAAAAATAAAGTTTTCTAGATGATCTGATCAAATGCATTTGAATTCTACTGATTGTAGAACCATATGGTTGACTGAATTTCTGGTGCTTTGTGTACCAACATAGTTAACTGTAAACACTAGTAAAATTATCTTACACCCTTTTCTCACAGTTTTGTTTAGTGTGCTAATAAGATAATTTACTTTCTGTTTTGCAGCTTGCTATGCTTTTATGGAGTTATTTTTCTGTCGTGTTCACCGACCCTGGTTCTGTTCCACCAAATTGGAATCTTGATTTTGATGTGGAGAGGGGAGAAACTGCTCCTCTCGCTACCTCAGAGTTGAACTCACAGCAATCTGTGGCTCTTGGCAATACCGCAAATCCAAGGGTTAGGTACTGTAGGAAGTGCAACCAGTTGAAGCCACCTCGGTGCCACCATTGCTCTGTTTGTAAGTGTATATCTATATATGGAATCTTTAGGATCAGCTTTATGTTTTGCCAGCTGTCATGAATCGGCTAATATCTTTTTTGTGTGCTTTGCCTCTACATGATTTCAGGTGGAAGATGTGTTCTTAAGATGGATCATCATTGTGTGTGGGTTGTTAATTGTGTTGGGGCGCTGAACTACAAATACTTTCTTCTCTTCCTGGTATAATACTACTATACCTGAGATATGCTCCTTTTTGATGTCAAGGACCTCAGGCCCTAGGGTAGCTGGCCCTTGGCTACGTAGTTCGTAGCCTCGGTCCGTCTTCTCCGGCGAGGTTTGCCCCTCCGCCGCAGGCTTGGGATGTTGAGAGAGATGAGAAAGGTTTTGGTGATAACAAATCTTACTTAATCCTCAAATGTCACGAGTACAAGCATATATGGCCCTTGGCCGCACTGAAAGAGGAAACAAACTCCTAGAATTAAGGATCTAAGCTGAAAGTCTTGATCACCATCGCTGGCTAGCCGCTCGGTGGTGCGGCCTGGTCGCTGGTTGCGCCCAGTGTGCGCTCTGCGGCCCGACGGATGTCCCTGGCACGGCGCCTTCTAGCGTACGTGCGCCCGTACATGACATCTCTCCCTCCCTCGTCAGCCAGCTCATCCTCGAGCTGGAACGCTGGAAACCACGCGGTGAAGGAGTCCAGGTCTTCCCAAGTCGCTGAAGCCGCTGGTTCACCCTTCCACCGAATGAGGACTTGGCGAACGCCGCGTGCCAGGCGCTTGCGCACCGCACGTTCAGGCTCGGGCACCGTAGCGCCGTTGTGGATGACTGGAAGTGGGGGTGGTGCAGTCGGCGGAGCGCCCACCCAGGCCTTGAGGAGCCCGACGTGGAACACGTCGTGCAGTCGAGCGCGCGGTGGCAGAGTGACCCGCACGGCGACGTTGTTGATGACCTCTGTGATCTTGTATGGCCCGAAGTAGCGGGGTTTCAGTTTAGCCGTGGAGGCAGCGTCGAGGGAGGCCACTGGGCGGTGACGAAGACGAAGCAGAACCCAGTCGCCCACCTTGTAGGTGACAGCCCGATGCATCTTGTCGTAGTGACGCTTCTGGACGGTTTGAGCCGTGGAGTTCGTCAAGGAGCTCATCCACCACCGGGATCGGGAAAGCGTCCTTGACAGTGAGCGCATTCAGCGCGCGGTAGTCGACGCAGAACCGCCAGGAACCGTCTGGCTTCTTGACGAGGAGTACCGGCGAGGAGAACGCCGAGTCGCTGAGGCGGACGATGCCCTGCGCGATCATGGCCGCACATTGTCGCTCAAGTTCGTCCTTGTGTGCCGCCGGGTAACGATACGGCCGCACCGCCACCGGAGCCGCGTCCGGCTTAAGAACGATACGGTGCTCGCGGCCACGTGGTGGTGGCAGTCCCGTAGGCTCGACGAAGATGTCGGAGAAGGAGTCCAGAAGGCCGTCCAGGAGGGAGTCGTCGGTGGTCACGCGGTGCGTATTGGTTTGGCGCCGGGGTCGCCATGCCGGACCAAAGAGACTTCCGCCGTCGCGCTGAGCGAACGGATGTGGTGTGGGTAGTGACGTCCCACGCGATGCGTCCCAGGGGTCCCATCCACTGGGTGCCCAGCACCATGTCGTAGCCCGCGAGAGGCATGACGTACAGGTCGACGTCGAACGCCATGCCCTCGATGGAGATGGGCGCCTGCCGGAGGACGCCGGGGCAAGCCACCTTCTCCCCGTTCGCGACCGTCGCTGTGAGGCGCGGGCGCGGCTGGATGGAGAGCCCCGTCCGGTGCGCGGCTGCCTCCCCTATGAAGTTATGCGTGGAGCCCGTATCAACCAGGGCGACGAGGGTCGTGGCACCCAGGGCCACCCTGAGCAGGATCGGGTTGCCCACGGGAACGCCCGCCACGGCGTGGAGGGAGAACACCGGCGCCTCGGTGTCTGGCGTGTCCTCGGTGGTGTCGTCGTCATCTTCCTCCACGCAGTCCACAAAGAACAATCGTTTGCATACCTTATTATGCCCACGGCTGTACTTCTCATCACAGTTGAAGCACATGCCCAGGCGACGCCGTTCGTCCTGTTCGGCCTGGTTGAGGCGTTTGATCGGGCGGCCCTCGACAGAGGCCGTGGGTGTCCCCGCCTTGGCCACTGGCGTTGGGGCATGGCGTGGCGTGTTAGTCGCTGAATTCTCACTCTTGGTAGTAGGAGAATTCTTACTCTCATCGAGAGAGGATGACACTAGGAGTTGGGGCAATGTGTTAGTCGCTGAATTCTCACTCTTGGTAGTAGGAGAATTCTTACTCTCATCGAGAGAGGATGACACTAGGAGTTGGGGCAATTTTCTTGTCTATTTCTTACTCAAATGCCATACAAACCTGAGGGGTTGGGGTTACATATTTATAGGCTGCTAGCCAGCCAAGCATATGCCAAGATGCTAGTCTAAGATGCTAGTCTAAGATGCTAATATGCTGTCCTAGCTAAGATGCTGTCCTGTCCTAGTCTAAGATGCTGTCCTCTAAGATGCTGTCCTGCTGTCCTCTAGTCTAAGATGCTATCCTAAAAGCGGAAAAATAGCCACAAGGACCATGTGAGCAAAGATGACCCCACAAAGACCACACATGAGACTTATCCATCATTCTCCCCTAAGTCTTGTGCGTCGTCTTGTGGGAGAGTTGAACCATCCGGTCTGGAGCAGAGCTCAAGGAACTTGATCCTCCCAAGGGGCTTGGTGAAGGTGTCCAAAGCTGGTCCTTGGTGTTATGGATGTAGCTCGCCTTAATGCTCCCTTCCTCCAAGCAGCCTCGGATGAAGTGGTACCTCACCCGGATGTGCTGCTTTGCGTTAAAGTGGAACACGGGGTTCTTTGCCGTGGGCAGAGCGGACTTGTTGTCCACCCCGAGCTCCACCGCTCTAGTGTCTCTGCCGAGGAGATCACCAAGCGATCGAGCGAGCAGAGCGCTGAGTCAAGCGGTGGAGGCCGCTATGTACTCGGCCTCGCAATGGTGGGACAGGCCACCACTGGCCGCTTGACCGCTTGCCCATTGCCGCCTAACGAGGCACTTGCCGAGGAAGAAGAGGATCCCGCTTCGTGCTCTTTTTGGTGTCGATGTCGCCGGCGTGGTCATTGTCATTGTACCCGAGGCAAGTGTGCCATCCCAGGGCACCTCGGGTAGTAGAGGCCGTGGTCGAGAGTCCCCGCAACATAGCGGATGATCCTCTCACCTGACTCTTTGGTGCTCCGTCGTCGGTCATTTGCATGAACCGACTAACGAGCCGACGGAGAATGCCAAGTCCGGCCGTGTGTGGGCGAGGTAGCGAAGGCTCCCCACAAGACGCCGCAGATCTGCGAAGCGTCCACCTCCTCCGTCGTCTTTGTCGTGGCTCGACTTGACCTCTCCTCCATCGGAGTGAGAGCTGGGTTGCGATCGGTGAGCCCAGCTAGCTCAACGACAGCGCTTGGCGAGGGCGATCCGTCGAAGTGTGATCCCGAGTCATTTCGGTGCACCTCGATGCCCGGATAGGAGAGAGGCCCTGTGTCACTTATCCGGAAGGTGGCCTTCATCTCTTCCTTGAATGCCGCCACCTCCGCATCCTTGGTGCCGGTGATCACCAAGTCGTCGACGAGACACCCACCGCAGAAAGCGGTTCCTCCACCGCCCGTCGGTAGATGGTCGCCTCGTCGCGGGCTTTGCTCAAGCCCATCCCTTTAGCGTGGAATCAAACTTGGCATTCCACGCCCTCGGTTCTGCCAGAAGCCATAGAGGGCCTTGCAAAGCGGAGCACCTGCCCTCCTTGCCGGGATCGCAAATCCCGCCGGCCGGTGCACGAGACCTCCTCCTTCAAGTCGCCGTTATGAACGCCGACTTGACTTGGCGTCCATGTGGTGAACACGCCATGACCCTCCTGGGCAGCTAGCGCGCAGGAGGAGTCGCGACGGACTCCATCCGTGCCACGGAGCAAAAAGCATCGTCGAAGTCGACCCCCTCTGCTTTGCCACGAAACCTCGTGCCACCAAGCGAGCCTTGTGCTTGACGATGGCGCCGGCTTCATCCCTCTTCAACTTGTACACCCACTTAAGGGTGATCGCGCGGTGACCACGAGGAAGGTCAACCAAGCTCCAGTGCGGTTCTTCTCAACCGCATCCATCTCCAATCGCATCGCGGCGCACCATGCCGCGTGTCTCTCGGCCTCTGAACGCACCGAGGCTCGCCGTCGTCTGCGCAAGGTGCAAGCCGCGCCTCCATGTCGTGAGGCACCGGTCCCGGCACCGGCTGGTCGCCGAGAAGGTTCTCCACCGTACGGTACCGCAACGGCTCACCGTCGTGGTACGCGTCGACGCGCTCCTCGTCGTGAGAGAGCGGAGTAGCGAGCTCAACCGGGCCGTGCTCGACACGTAGTGGTGGTGGAGTAGACGTGCCGGAGTGGTGCTGTCGGTCTTTGGAGTCGCGTGGCGTTGCCGGGTGTGGTGGAGCCGCGAAGAGCTCATCGCGGCCGAGGTCTGGCCGGAGAGCGTGGTCTTTGTCGAATGCAGTCTTTGGGGTCGGTGGAGGCTCGAGAGGATGGGGTAGACGCCTTTCGCGCCGAAGAAGAACCGCCTACTCCCCAGCTCCCTCGGAAGTGGGCGTACTCGATAGTGAAGTCGCGTCGTGCGTCGGAGCCGAGCCGTCGTCCATCGCCTTGTCCACGCCCATCCTCGCCTCGCCGCCGAACACAGCGGCGTCGCGCGCGTGCGCTGCACGCAGCGTGTCTTGGTCGAGGATGCGGTAGGCCTTCGAGCCCTCCGGCGTAGCCGATAAACACTCCCGAGTGCTCGTCGTCGAGCTTGCCGATGTGGCCAAGCTCCTTGGCGAATGCGAGGCACCGAAGACCCGCAAGTGGGAGACCGCCGGCTTGCGCCCATGCCAAGCCTCAGACTGGCGCCCTGCCGTCGAGCGCTTTGGTAGCCGAAAGCGGTTGAGGATGTAGACGGCCGTCACCACCGCCTCTCCCGGAAGATAGCCGGCATCCCCTCGCTTGAGGAGGGCCGAGCCATCCCCACAACCGCCCGGTTGCGCGCTCGACGACGCGCCGTTCTGCTGCTGCGAAATTTGACGACGCGGAGTAGTGGCGCTGAATGCCCTCGTCGGTAGCCAGAAGACGACGCGAATTCAGCCCGCCGTGAATTCGCCCGCCGTTGTCGGTCAAGAAAGACGCGCGACTTATGGCCGCGACTCG